AACGAATTAGAGAATGTGAATTCGTGTCGGGAATCGTTACCCTAAATAAGGGTGGAGTGACTGCTTAAATATTTTCTATTGAATGATTAAAATCTGAGCTCAATGTTTAATAACAAATAAACTTTAACATCTGTTATTAGTTCACATGATCGTTGAAGAAAATAATACTTCAGTTAGTGAGAATATTAGAAGGCAAAATGATAATTTATACTCGTACCTAATTATCGAATCTCAGACGAGGATAAAATATATATACGGCATGTCAAAGGAAAAACATTATAAATTTATTCGCTTCTGTAATTTTATATACTCTAATAGTCCAATCTTTTGCTTTTAGTGAAAAACAAAGAATAATTAAATTGGGTGGTCCAGGGTTGACTAGACATGATTTAAAATTAGAATTTGGATAATATATGTCCGATCAAATCCTTGTGATAGTTCTATAAAGTATTGAAACTTAATTATGGTAATTATAATAGTTTTGGACTTAACTTTAATTACAATAAAGTTTTGTACCTATTGCAATTAATATGAAAATTGTAAACCTAATTATAATTGTAATTGAAGACCACACATATAATTTAACCCCCGTTTGGTATCCATTATTTTCAAAATGTATTTTTCTCTCTCTTTTTTTTCAACTACACATTCTTTATTAAAATAATATTACACGTAAACTAAATTTTTTCCTTATTTTTCAACCACGCACTTCTCATTAAATTACTATTCTAAAATGCATTCTTATATTAAAATGGCTATCAAACACCCCTTTAATGTAAACTAATTGGATTTGAACTTTATTTAAAACTCCTATCAGGATTTTAATTAAGAGTTTCATTTGAATGTGAAATTAATATTGTACAAGGAGTGGAGCTATTTTATCTCCATAAATAGAGATTAAATAGAACTAAAAAATCCTACAACAATCGTTTGAGCCACATTATTTGAAAAAATACATTCTTCAACAGTGATTTGACATCATTTCAACCACACATTTTTTAATAAAATAATATTACATGCAAATCCAAAATATTTTCTTATTTTTTAATCACACATTTTTCATCAATATACTATTCAAAAATGCATTTTCATTCCAATAATGTGACTCAAACAAGGGCATAATATATAATTTCATAGCGTTCAAATTTCGAGAGAAAAAATAGTATTTTTCCCATCTTATTCTTTTTGTCCAGTTTAAGAATTAATTTCTTGATTTAATTAAAAAAAGGTGCCCACCTACTGTTGCAGTATTGACTTTGGAGAATTCCATAGAAGAATTAGAGTTTTGAAGCAT